TAGCAGCCTTATAAGTGCCTACTTAGAGGGATAAAGACAAAGTATTAGTGGGTAGTCTAATAGCTATAAAACGGCCTTAGTTATTAAAGACATGGATTAGCGATTCTAAGTCTAGGATCGTATAGTATAGTAATACTTTCGCTGAGTTAATAAAAAGGGATACTCCTTATTATAATCTTAATAGTATCGTCGTACGAGGACGCGCTATCCCCCTTTCTTCCGTGGGGTAAAAGCCTAGTCGCCCCCTCGCGGAGGCGCCAAAGTTCGATATAGGTGCTTTCTCTATTATTATTACGGTTACGACCGGCTAGAATCCCGCCGACTTTATTACGTAGTAGTTATAATCGGCGTAATATTATAGAGTTAGTCCTTCTAGACCTCCTTTATCTTACTAGCGGTAGTAGCCCCTAAAGCTTCCCGTCTTTTCTATATAACGGTATCTACACGGCTTTTAAAACCATAGTTACGTATCTTCTTTTCTATAACCTTCGTAATATCTTCACGGCCACGCTAGCTATAAGAGCGTATATCCGGCCTTATATACTAATAGGCGGCGGTAGAATATGTATTCTCATATGTCTTATAAGGCCTCCTCGTCGCGGGGGGGTAGCCTTTATAGACGTATCGCTACGAGCACGGTTTTTATTATGTTTATTATTAGTAGTAGTAGTATCATTAGTATCGGGGAGGTTCTCGAGGGTATTAAAGGTGCCTCTCCCGACTCTAGACTTTATAATAGCAGGTTAGAGGCTTTTTATATCATTAAGAACCGCCCTTAAAGCCTTTACAACATCGTTAATCGTTAGCTTATTTTCTGTAATCTGATCGTAAATATTTACTAGGTAGTTATTACTCTATTCCTAGGCGATACGTCTAATAGCTTTTAACGTGTTTTCTGCTTAACGGTCAGCGCTTAATAGCTCTAAAACGTCTATATATTTATAGTATATTATCGCTATTTTCTAGCTTATAACCCATGCGTCTATATCTTTAGGTATAGCCTTTATAGGTATAGTGTATTATCGATATAGGATTAAGGCTTCCTTATAAAGGTTTATAGGGGTCAGTCCTACTTTTATGTAGAGCAGGGCTACGTAGGCCCGCGGGTTATTTACGTTATCATCCTATAGCTATGTAAGGAGGTTACGTTGCGTAGTATAAACGGTCCCTTCGATATATAAGCGTACCTCGTTAAACCGTTTCTACTCCGCTTTATTGTCGGCCCTTTCCTCGCAGTATATACGGCAGTCTTATATAAAGCGTGTACGTCCCTTTTCGGAGAGGTCGTTAATAGATATAGGTGTTTTAGTTAGTTATTCCTTCGTTTCGGCCGTAGCCTTCTTATAAGCAGTCGTCTTCTTCTTACCGGCGGCTATAGTAGTAGTGGTAGTAGCGGTAGCGGTAGTGGTAGCGATAGGGTCTTAGCCCGAGGTATCGGTGGCCTTATTGCCCTCTAGCGTAATAGTGGAAGACCGAGTAGCCGTAGCCTTTTCCGTCGTGTTAGGGTTAATAATAAGGGCCTTATATTTACTGATATTAGGAGGCGTCGGCTTAGGGAGGAGGTAGGTATTAGCCTCCTCGTCACTTAGCTTTACATTAAGATAGTTATCCTAGTAGGAGGCAGATTTACCATATATAGCGCGCTCCCACGCTACCTAATCCCTCTAGTTAACGAGGGTAGTGGCGGCTGCCTTCTATTTGATATTAGATATATTAGAAGATATCTTTACTAGTTTATCAGTTAATTAATTAATTAGTAGATAGGTCGGTAGGTTAATTGATCGCGTAATTATTCTAATTATATTAATAGTAGTTATTTAAAGAGTGCTTATAAAACGTGATTACTGTTTATAGTGGAATATGCTATCCTTATTAATATCTATCGTTTAGGTGTTATAAACAGGGCTTATAACTATCGCACGTTAAAATTGCACTTATATAATTAATTTAATAAAGCAGAAATCTCCTGTATATATATTATATTAAGTTATATCTATATATATCTTTTATACCCTTAATTTTGATAGTGAAGACTCTATCATAGATACTATGTTCTTTAGATTCTACCCTGTCATTTCCGGTATCCGCCTTTATTATATCCTGATACTTAAGGTCCCCAAGATCTAAAGCCCTTAGTCAGGCATAGATCCCCTAGGGACCACGTCGTGGTCCGTGTGCCCATACGACAACTTTCACGCCGATAGCTCCGGTGCCCCATTTCGTACTAAAGCTAGTCTTTTTCCGAGTATTTAGTATCCTGGGGAACGTTATTGCATTCCTCCTTTTAAGGGGATATTTGGGCCACCGTATCCTTCTTACTTTTATAGTACTATTAGGCGTGGTTCTTCTAATAGTTCTAATATATAATATTCGCGTAGCGGTTGGGTTATTACTAGGCCCCCTTAGACTCACTAACCTTATTAACTTTACTTATAGCGATGTCGCTATTAGCGTCTTTAGCCGGTCCTCGGTTATTATAAATAATGGGGACTAGTTAGTATAACTTATCAGTACCCTTATATCTCTACGCGATCTTTTATACTTTATTAACCTACTTAGTGTAGGTATCGGGGAGGGTAACAGCTATTAGGCTATTACGTAGCCCTTTATTTAGGGCGCTATTAAGGAATAATGTCTTAATATAGTCTACCTAAGTATAGCCTCCGACTTATACTAGGTTCTTTTCAAATACTAGTAGGAAATGCGTAAATAGCTAGTTAGGCTTTTACTTTATCGATTTAAGGATATTAGTAGTATAGTCTTATTTATCATAATCCTTATATATACGGTTAAGATAGGCTATAAAGTCTTCTCGGTTAAAGTCTTTATTTATGCCTTTATTACTAAAGAAGGTACTAACTACTTACTAAGGTTAAGTGTCTAAGCACGTGTGAATTTAGTACTACGCCTTTTTATTACTACGAAATAGCGGCCCGTTAAGTTTAAGCTTTAGTCCTATAGCTTAGGACTAGGCTATATACTCTATGTTTCTTACTGAATTTCGCGGGGATAGCGACTTACTATACCCAGTATAAGAGCGTAGGTAGCGGTAGTAGAGTAGGTATAGTAGTCTGTACTTTTAGGGGCCCGGGTATTAATAAGGGCGTAATAACTAGGGTAGATATTAAGTATATAGTGGGTATAAGGTACGGGTTGATTTAAGACTTTTCAAGGGATATTTATAGCCTTATAAGTGTATCGTGAATAGCGGCGATATATATCCTTACCGCTTTCTATACGTATTATAATACGCGTTTGTTAATCTTATTATATAAGGTCCTTACGACCTGCCCTTAGCCTATTAATAGGCTCGGGGCGAAATAACTAGGACCTCCTTCTATATAAGCGTTAAAGCTTATAGTCTTGAGTTCGAATATATAATAGCTTATTAAAAGTTATTTATATATATAAAGGCCGAAAATATAGTTTATTTGAACTAAGGAAGGAAAGCCGGAATGGAAAAGTCTATGCGGTGTATAGGCGGCTAAGTATAGGTTAGATCGCACAGGCCTTACTAGGAGCTCCGTGCTTCTTAGTCCTAGCCACTACCGGGGACTATTCCACGGGCCATAGCCTGTAACAAATACAATAAAAACAGTTAGATTAATAGATTCTAAATTAATTATAGGCGGCACTTATTCTAACTAGGGCACTTGTTTATTCCGGCTAGGGTACTATTATCAGCAGCCGGCACTAGCCGCCCACGGTCGCGATCCTTCCCTTTACGGTAAGTTTAATCTATTTAATTCGTTTAATCTATCTACTATATAACGACCAAATCTGCTATAGATATCGTGGGGGTAAGGGTCGGGGCTAATCGAACGCAAATTTAGTGAGAGGCAACCTAATCCTATCTAGATCCTGGTCGGGAATAGATAAAGCTATCCGTAGGTTATAGAAAGAGCTAGGACAGTATACGTAATTATATTATAGGAATAAGCTTCATTAACGATTATAACTAAGGGCAAAAAGACGATCCGAACGATATAAGCTAATTAAACGGATTGAACGGATTGAATGGATTGAATGAATTGAACACGGATTAAACGGATTAAACGGAAGGATCGCGACCGTGGGCGGCTGGCGCCGGCTGCTAATAATTATACCCCAGTCGGAATAAACAAGTGCCTTAGTTGGAAGAGTAGCGGTATCCCGTATAACACGTTTTAGTACCCCGCATAATAGTAACCTATTTAAGATAGCCTTCTAAGCGTTTTCCTCGGCTAGTAAATTACCTAAGTATCTATGCCTAAAGTCCCGGTATATTATAAGATCGTGGACTACTACTATATCGCTAGAGGTACGATCTAGGAAGCTAGCCGCTATAATTAGCTAGGGGGGTACCTAAACGATACCTAAGACTACCTATTTATCGTATATCTTTACGGACTCGAGCAGGGCTTTATATATAACTTTTATCTAAAGTAATAAATTCAATACTATTATAAAATAAATATCCTATATTGAAGCTCTTAAGGGCGTAGGCGGCTTTGGATAAGGGAAGGATATAGTAAGATTTTAAGGCTTAATATTAATATAAATATCTTTAAGATAGCAGCGAATTCGTACGTTAAAGTATCTAAGGTATATCGGGTGAAAATTCTTTATCTTCTTCGTGTCCACGATCTCACAATATTCCGGGACTTTAGGCATGGATACTTAGGTAATTTACTAGCCGAGGAAAACACTTAGCAGGCTATCCTAAATAGCTTACTATTATACGGGATACCAAAATATATTTTACGGGATACCGCTACTCTAGTCGGAATAAATATCGCCTAATTATATTAAAGGCGTAAAACGTTGTTACAACATGTGGTTGTAGGGGGCTATATTACTGGCCGATAATCCTACTGATATCCACCTTCCGTGCCCAAACGCGTAATCGGCCGTTCGGTTATTCCACCCCCGAGGGAGGTCTATGCAACATGTTGCCGTTGACTATCGACGTGTTTGGCATTGCCTTATCCACCCACTTCAACAATTCCTAATTCCTCACTATGCAGCTGCGTTGCGATATGATTGATAGACTGCCTTTAGTCTAGCCTTGCGAATCATCCCTGTTGCAGAATCACCATGCATCTCTTTCCAGCTCTTGCGATAGCCTTCACTTCCATCACCCTTGCGGCGCCCACCGACCAGATTCTTGCCACCGAGATAGCCACCCAATCCGATTTTGTCCAAGAACCCGGGTCTGCTCGTGTAACACCTCGTCTGTTTCCTTTCCTCAACTGGCTCTGCGACGAGACTGTTGAGCTGCTTTTCGGGCAACCGCGGAAGAAGACCAATATTGCTGTGCTACCCAGGGACTTGTCTACCCGTCATGTCGATGAGGTGGTGCTCCGTCTAAATGTGTCGACGTCCCAAGAGGCAGAAGCTGTTGCCGAGGCCGCGACTCGCCTCTTACTCGACGTATGGTCATTCAACAAGAATAACGTGGATATCCGGCTTCAGAAGCATGTGGTCTCCTCCTTTGTAGCACTGCTTCCCCCTTCGCTTTCTGATTCATATTCCACTCTCATTCCGGATCTGGACGCCGCGATCCGCAATGCATCCGCTTCTTCTCCGCTGGATCGATCTCTCGACAAGATGGTGGCTGGTACCCAGTCCCTCTTAACACCTGAAGCGGGTGCGGAGAACGTCTTCTTTCGTGATTACCGCCCCCTCTCAGTCTGTATCCCGCTCTGGTTGGCCTAGTAAACCTCGATGTACTGTCTGCTAACAACCCCAGGTCATTGTTCCCTGGCTACGGTATCTGACTGCCATGTTTCCCTCGATTACTCAATTATCAAGCATTGGATTGTCGTACGAAGGTCGAGATATACATGCTTTACGTGTTGGGGCCCGGCTGGGAGATACAACGCCCAGGAGAAGAACACTAGTCGTGACTGGTGGAATGCATGCCCGTGAATGGATTTCAACTACGACCGTCAACTACGTCGCATGGTCCTTCGTCACTGGCTATGGCAGGGACCCGATGATCACCAAGCTACTTGACCATTTCGATTTTGTATTCATCCCAGTGGTCAATCCCGACGGAGCAGAATACACATGGCAAGTCGATCGACTCTGGCGCAAATCTCGGCAACAAACAGACCTTCGTTTTTGCCGTGGGTTTGATCTCGACCATGCATTCGGGTTTGGCTGGGGGAGTACAGACGGCGGCAGTGACCCCTGCTCGGAAACTTACGGTGGTAATGCGCCATGGGAAGCGGTCGAGGCAGCTGTCCTGGCGAACTGGGCTCTGGACCAAGCAAGAAGCAACAAAGCCCAGTTCATAGGACTGATTGATCTACACTCCTACTCGCAGCAGATCATGTTTCCGTACTCGTATACTTGCGATGTAGATCCACCGAATCTCGAGAACCTTGAAGAGCTTGCAGTGGGCCTTGCCAAAGCTATCCGCTTATATAGCGGCGAGTCTTATTCTGTATCGCCTGCCTGTGAAGAGACCGTCATATCGGTGCCACGGCAAAATCATCCACCAAGGATTGGAGCCAGCGGCGGTTCGGCCATCGACTGGTTCTATCACGAACTGCGTGCTCACTTCAGCTATCAGATCAAGCTAAGAGACACTGGCAGTTACGGTTTTCTTCTCCCTCGGGAGAATATTATCCCCACCGGAGAGGAAATGTACAATGCCATGAAATACCTCGGAGACTATCTTCTAGGCAACAACGGCATTGAAGGAGTCCAAGACAGAGCAAACATCAGGACAGGACAAAGCCAACCAGTGCCACCATCTGAGCAAAAGTCTACGCGGTTTATTTGAAGGGCATAGAGGACTGATGGAGTAGCCGAGTAGCCGTTTGAATTCAAAGCTGCGCCTTGTCAATACTACCCCTTCCAACGGTTTCCCACTTTCTCTTGCGCCGTATTCCCTGGCTCCGTTGCCTGAAAGATACACGTGTATATGTGATCAGCGAAGATCTTTCAATGTCTTGGGCGGCAAAGACATGGTGGCAAAGCCCCGCCACGCTGGGACGAAACCACCAGACGCAAAGGGAAGCAGGCCTTCGAGAATTCTCTTGATGATCTACCTAAGATGATACATTTCCTACCTTCGAGGAAGTCCCTCATCAGTCACGCTGTCCCTGAGCAAGGCCCATGTGACAAAGGCAGCCGAGAGACCTAGTCGAACATATTCGTTGGATTTTCTCGCGGCGAGCTGGTCTGCGGTCCGGGGCAGAACGCTAACATAAGGGGCAATCCTTGGACACAGAAAGGTCAAGGAAGGATTCCATGCGTTCCCCGTCGGCAGCGAAAGTGAATGTGCCGTCCGGACAGAAGATGGCATGAATATGCCATTGACGTGGATGTTCTGAAATGCCGCCCTGGATTAAGAGGTCAAATCAGGCGACACCACATTCGTGTTGTATGAGCACTGGGCATGGATATTCCTGAATTATCCGGTGCACCTGTTTTCCGGAGCAATCCACTCGAGGCCGAGTTCTTTGAAGACTCTCTTCTCCGCCGTTACAAAGTCTGGCGCCACTCCCGTCTTGCCACCCTCTAAATCCACCCAGGAGCCATTGATCCGGCTCCGAACCCCGCTGCTATCGAACTTAAGCAGCATTTTCTTCTTGCAGTAAATCCGGAGGTCCCGTTGGAAAGTGGTTTCCCCAGACCATCCAAGGATGGCGCACCCGACGGTTTTCCAAGGACTCACTATAATATCCACTCGGCGGTGCGGCCCAGGAGAGGCGATGTTCATTCTGGACGCCTGAGGCTGTTCCTGATCGTTATTTTCGCGTTTATGGCTCTCTCTCCCTCGATCCTCAGGTTTCTCTCCTCGCCACACCACCAGCGCCTTGTCAAGGGTGTCGAATCCCGTGCCCTTTGTGCTATTGCCCCTCCAGCTAACTGGTGTCTGACCACGTTCGCTGTTGCGCAAGCTCAATGTGAGAATATGGGTGACATCGCCACTTTGCTCTAAACTGTCCACCAGTCTGCTGACTAGGTTATATGTTGCCGACTCATCCGGGTGGCTGACTACTAAGTCCACGTCGCCGTTACGCTCCTTTCCCCGCCGATATCCACCGACAATAATCACACGGCAGTCGGGATGAATGTTGCGAGCATGGTGGAGTACTGTATCGAATATGGCTTCTACTTCTTCCCGGGGTATTGTCTGCTGAAATTCGTCATAGTACTTGACGCCAATTTGCTGAACACGAGTCAACGAGTTCCAACCGTATTGGACAATATCGTCCAGATCCCGCCAGCCTGCACGTGTCATTAATCCGTCGATCATGTCGAATATGCCTTGATAGGGTGGTGAAACTTGCCTTTGTTGTAGAACTCCCTGGCAGTTGCGTCTCCGACGCCCCATATCATGTAGAACAACCGGATTACGCAAAGTTTCGGATCAGACTGAGCCTCCTCCACTTCGCTCAGCTTTCCGGTCCACTTCCATTCATTATACAACTCGGCGATCTTCGTACCACAGCCCGGCAGTTTTTCGAGTTCTTTCCTACTGTGATTAGTACTTCAGGGTCGCATAGGTGAACACATGGAAGGAGGCTTACCAGCGGGGTCTGCGACAGCATACGGGTATGCCGCCAGCGTGGCTATAGACGTAGAGTACGCACGTACCCCAATCTGATCCCCAAGCAGCAGCCGCTTCTCCCGGATCTGCTTCAGCTGATCGATGAAGGCTTTGTTGGGCGGGTTGTTAGGGGCGCGTCGCTGGCAAGAGAAGGGGGTCATCGGGAACATCGGCATGTCTGACTGATTGTTGTTGTCGTCGTGTTCGGATGTGGTCCGCAAAAAAAGAGAGGGAGGCTGAAAGTGACGATGTAGTTTCTCCCGAAACGGTCTACGTCCGGCGCCGCCAGTCCCCTGTGTTTCACTGGCCTCTGCGACAACCCGGTCGCTGTTTCGGACGTGCGAATAAGTTCGCATGCGACGACCTGCATACACTATATAATCCTCGAGGGGCAGTAATTCGTGTTGCCTGAGTGAGTCGGTGAACCAGCTGAGCTTCACAACCTTGATAACTTTATCCTCCCTGTGGGCACTCTGGTTATCACCATTCATGGTGATCACCGTGTCGCTGCTCGTGGCATGGGAGTCGGCGTCTTCTGGTCGACGGGAGACAGAAACATGCAAAGCCGACTCCAAGGGTTCTGTCAGGACATGTCGCTTTCTCAGTTCGAACAACGCTCTCTTGCGTTGCGTAACGTTCCCAAGAACGAGGCTGGCTTCGTTGATGTTGGATGTCAGAGTTGGAATAGTTTCTACAAGCTGCTGTAACTGCTCGGGGCTAAGGTGGACAGGGAGCAGAAAGATGGGCGGGAATGCTAAACTCGTCATGTTTGCCCAATAGATTTGCCAGCGGTCTCCTGGGCCTGGAGCAGGTAAAGGGAAAAGAAGCTGGTGTACTTGCAAAGACGCGCTGAGTATTCGAACTTGGGGCTGCTAATCGAACAGACAATTACGCGGTTTCCAGCGACCCCGAGAACTATAGCAATAAATGTTGCATGCGATCCGGTGCTTAAGAGATGACGTCACGGCGAATGGACCGGCCCCTGTCGCATTGGCACGAGCCGCCTCGAGGGTGGGCACGAGTGTGGCACAGCCACACCAGTAGGTGTGCGCCACACTATCTGTCAGCCACTAGGGCACGGGTTAGATCCACTATATATTACGTAGCCGTACACCAGGCCTTAGGCCGATACTAGATAGCTTTATATATATCACCGTTTAAACTCTATATATGATCGCTCCTATAGATTAGTAGTAACTATCGTTTCGTTTAAGCGATAACTAGAGAAAAAGCACTATTAATTATATTTCTTGGGCCAGCGTCTTCCGCACTAAAACCAAAAACGTATAAGCCGCGCGACACCCTTACCTCCGCGCCACCGCAGCTAAGGCCGTAGCTAAGACAGCACTAATTCCATTAACTAAACCCTATTAAGCACGCTACACTATATATCTTACCGGATTTAGATAATACCTTATCCGATCTACCACTCGTCTGTATAGTTATCGATATAGCCACCGAACGTACTTCTGGCCAGATAACTTCTTTGGTATTATAAGGCTAACGGGAAGTTTTCGGACCGATTCACCCCGACCGATATCTTAGTGCTATAATACTTTCTACGGCATTACCGTGTAGAATATATCGAAGATATCCACTATAGAGAGGATCTATATCCTTACCTTTAGCTATCTCGCTTAGTATCGTTATAATCTGCTTTACAGAACTTCAGGAAACGAGCAGAGATATTCTATAACGTCTTCGATTACCCCATACTAGATAAGCCGAGTCAGGTATACAGGAATAACTAGCGAGAATAACTTGAGCACGATTAACAGACTCTCTATAGTCCACGCAGGCATAACCCGTCGTGCCCATTTACCCTATATAGGAGTAACCACACTAGTTATAGACGTAGGGACGACTCACCACAATAGATTAGGACACCGAGACAGCAGCCGTAACTCTTATACTCAACGCTATATATATCTCCACTCCGTAACGCCTATCTTCCCACATATAGATACCTCCCTAAGCACCGACCCGACCTAGATCGCAGTCACATATTTATTATCCTATATTTCCTCGCCGTTTGGAATCTTCTAATTCCTATGTATTAACGGTTTTTCCTCTACTACCCGACTCACCTATTTTCGAGGATTCTATAATCGAATAGGGTAAGGCAATATTATAGCATAACCACTCTAATAAACCGGAGGACGTAGATACTCGATTCCTGCGTCTTATCTAATAGGGTATCTTACCCCTATAATAGCAGGTGTAATAGTTATAAGATAACGCCTAGTAGTAACGACGGAATACCCCTAAAAACCCCGGAACCGGTTAAAACGCCACGCGGAGCAGGATAATAAGTAATCCCGTACTATAATAGGGATAGTCTAATTAGTCTAATCACTATAATCCTAATTTCCCCTTAGAAGCTCCCCTTCGTTCTGTCGATATATGTATATATAATCCAGATGCCAAGGATCCTAAATAACGAGGCATTATTAATAACGGTAAATCTATAGTTTACACGGATATCTACGTATTTACGGATCGCCTTAAAGATCTGGCTAAAACGTAGGAAGACTAAGTTAAGCGTGTATAGACTATATGCCTATTAGGCCGAGTACTCACGTAGTATACCAGGACGCTTAGTAATGCCGACAGAGACCTTATACGTAGTGGACTAATTTATAACGTTTATGCTAAATTAATCGAGAAATTTAAGACACCGATCGATATAGCCGTATCCCGCTAGCTTATAGTCCGATTTAGTATCCCAGATATCGTAGTAGGTAAACCACTCGAAGATTATATACAATATATGATTCGAGAAGCTAACGCAGCGTTTATTACAGAAGAGGGCAGACTTATCTATATCTGGAATATATTTAACCGGGAAGTGAAGAAAATCATAGACTAACCGCGGACATCGACTACTTATATAGAATGGATGGACTATATTCAGTATAAAAATACTACGTTACGAGCACTCGTTAACCCCTCCCAACCGAATTAAAGTACTAGTCTTACCCTAAAGATAACCGTATAAGTTATGATTATACCTATAATAACCGATAGCAGGCGACCCGACTATACGATAACCGCCCGTTCACCACTCAGGGCCAATTTCGCGGCAGAGGGTTATATAATAGGAACTACCACTACCCCTACACTTAATAACGCGGTAGCAGATACCCCCGGCCTAACTAAGATAACGCCGGATACCCACGGCCTAGTTAGGATAATACGTACTCAGGGCCTAATCAGGATAACACGGGACCCTTACGCCCTTGGAAGGCGGATTAGAACTAGCCTTCATACACGAATTAACCTATGTCGGACACTAATAAGAAATATAATTTATCGGATAATAGACGACCGTCGTGGCCTAACCAGTAACCTAAGGCGGTATAGGCGTATTATAATAAGGCCCAGCAGGATAAGGACGAATCACCCGGGCAGCTTAAAGACACCCCCGAGAATTATCCATTATGCTATAACGAGGGCCCTATAGAATATATAGATAACGGAGAGTATTTTAACTATACCGAGGATTAATAGCTTTAGCCAGAAAATAAAAAGGACACCGTTAAATATAATTACTATACTATCACCGCCGCTACGCCTAGTCGCTCTATTCCACGAGTATACTACTATTATCATTACACCTTCTCTAGCAATAATAAGCTATATTATTATATACGAGCTTTGCATTAGAAATATACCGCCTTAGCACTTATAACTAAGTCAATAATACCAGGGCCACCGACCACTATAGGCACTCCGGAAATCCGGTAATTAATAGTGGACGCTGCTAAAGATATTAGTACCGGCTTCGGATTTCGATCCTACTCGTACCTCAAGTATAAAATTTTGCTAGACGCGTAGAAAGACCATTAGGTCGATATCTATACAGACACCAGATACTCTTCCACACTTATTAATAGATAATTTCTTCGATAACACTACCCTAATATTATTATACGCCTTAGTACTACGTTATTAATAGTACGTGGAATCGGAGACTAAACGTTCGCTATATGGGAATATATACTACTCCTATTTTAATTTAAAGGCGAATATAAAAGCTAGCCAGCTATTACTAAATTTACGCGAGAAGCATCAGTTATAGATAACCTACGGGCTAACCTATTACTGGGAATAGACTGTATAGCCCCTGAATAATTTAACATTATAAATAGTAGTAATATTATATATATTCAGAGCTACGACGTATCTATCCCTATAATATGCTATAACAGATTATAGAGACACCACGTTAAGGTGGTGGCACACGCCTAAGCGATATTAGCTCTAATATCTGCCACTATAGTCCGTATCCTACACGCGGCCCCCTAAGACTAAGATTATATTTTCGAACCAGTGGATCTGCCGGTGAAAGTATACGCTCTATTATATAATACCGAGCTCCTAGATATCCCGTTATATAACGAATTATTAACGGAAACGATTATTTCCCCCGGTATATGTTTAGGGTATTTAATATCGATCGAACTAGGTGCTATAGCTTAGACCGCGGATATAATAGACGTAGAAGTAACCGACGGCGAGACCTCGTAATAAAATCGACTAAGATACACGGAGCCTAAATATATTATACGAGATATAGAATAGCTCGACTAGATTATACTTACACACCCTACTAGAGTCCGAGTCTATAAGTGCGAACACCCCGCTAACTCTAAATAGCTCCTGGATATTATATTAGAGTTTCAAGATATTTTTCAGGATAAGGGTTTCGTATATATACCGGAGGACCTCTATATACGCGTCGTTTTACGCCCCGATTAGTATAACCGTATACCTAGAAGATATCGTATATATCCCGCTAACACCGAAGATAAGGAGGTTATTAAGGATACTATAGATAAGCTAGTCGCGGATAACAAAGCCTATCGCAGGATACACGATGTGCCTATATCCTAGCCTATATTCGTCGTATATAGTGTTAAGAACGGTAAACGTAAAGGCCGAATAGTCGTTGACGTTAGGCCGCTTAACGATGCATATATGCTAGATATATATCCTATACGCACCTAAGACGAAATTCTATAACACGTATCGGAAAAAGGATAGATTACGGTCCTCGACGCTATTAGCTTTTATTACTAATAGTAAGTATACCCTGACTATAGATAGCCGTTTACTATCTCTACCCTAAACGGACAGTTTATATTTAAGTGTCCTTTTATAGGGTTTAAGAACTCTAATTCCTATATCTAGCGTATAATAGATAATTTGCTCCTCGGTATAGAAGCAGTTATATATTGCGATGACGTCGTAGTGAGCAGCCACACCTTACCTGACCACGTATACTACTTAAGGCGTGTTTTTACACGGTTTCGAGACTATAACGTGTTTATTGGATCTCGAAAATCATTACTAGGCATGCCCTTAGCAGTGGTACTAGGGAAGATAGTTAACGTATAGAGTCTGTCCACACCCGAGGATAAGATTAAGGCTATTAGGACTATTGAATTCCCGAAAACCCTTAAGCACCTCGAATACTGGATTAGAGTTACTACGTCGTTACGGCACTATATACCCAGATTTGCGATAAGAATGGAACCACTAGAAGAACGTAAGGCGAACCTAATTAAGCAGTACCGTAGAATTAAGATAGCCTAGCCTCACACTAAGAAGCTAACGGCGAAACGTAACTTAAAACCCGCCCGGATATCCTGGGCATAGTCTATTAACGTGTTACTCCCCACCGCTATAGAGATCGTGGGCTTTAATAATATTAAACGCACTCTCTACGAGAGTATTACTCTAGCCCTCTTTAACCCTTACGATTAACTTTTTATAGAATTCGACGCGTCCGCTAAGGGAATCGGCGTTTAGGCCTTTCACGTTAACGCTAAGGCATTAGTAAAGGTCCTACTCCCGGATAGTAAGGTAGTATATCCCCCGAGGACCGCTATACGTCTAAGTACTTTCCTCTTACGCGTGTTACGCCT